AACTCAGTAACACAAGTGGCAACAGAGATTGAGTGAGAAACAGATAAACAGAATACTACTTTGCTTGAAGTTTGATCATTATAGCAGCATAGTAAGAATAGATGTCAAAATTTAATATAAAATGTAATGCTTGACTAAGATTTTGAAGGAAACAGGAACAATAATATAGCAATGGCAGTTCCAGACATCGGAAAGATAAAATCATTTGATGAAATATAAGATCTTTAGATAGCTGAAAGCTGAAGAACAATATGAATAAGTATAACAAATGCACAAAGATTTAGATGCATAAAGATGGGAAAATGGATCATCCTACACAATTGTCTCTACAAAATAATGATACAGTGGTACCTTGGTACTCAGCTGCTTTGAAACTCATTGAATTTGGTACTCAACACATTTTGATATGAAAATTTTGAGCCGGTACTTATAGTTTGTTTGGTATTTTATGCATAAACTAGACTTGTCGGTGTGGTCTGCCTTATGACTCGCTACATTATTCTATATAGGAAAAATTTTGTTTGGTATTCATCATTTTTGGTACTCATCATGCCTCCCGGAACCAATTAACAATGAGTACTGAGGTACCACTGTATAAATAAACAGATCCACCAGCTAATCCCAGATAAATCATGTATGATTTGTTTGGATTCCAATCTACAGGCATATTTGAAAGGAAAATGTGCAATCTTCTTTTGCACTCATAATTTTCCAAGATCAGACATATTGTTTTGGGACTGACAAGGGTTAAATAAAATAATGTTGAAAATAGAGAGTATCACTTAAATCAGGCTTCACAGTTGTTGCGTTTGTATAGTAGTGCTTTTTGAAATATGTGGCCTGCTAAAGAGTTAGATGGTTTTGGATTATTTTCATGGACTAATATGGCTAGGATTTTTTTTTTATTTGTCAAAAAATGAAATCGATACTATGGAGAAACTTTATTATAGCCATAATTTTCAAGCATACTGACAAAAATATCAGAATGCAGCTTAATACTGTATGTCTTTGATAAGCCTTCACAGTCAGTAAAAAATAGAATCATCTACCATTTTTATTGAACAATTCAACTCCACTTTGTGTAGCTCTTTCATGATCTTGGTGACAGCACAACTGGACACAAATACCACCCATGGACTATTTGTGAGCCTACACTACATGTTTATTTCATAGTCTTGGTGGAAGAGTATTTTTATTGTGCTGTGCACTGCTCCTAGTTTCATATGGAGGTGTCCTTGGAGAAAGTCACAATTGGTTTTAGGCAGTGTCAATATTCAGCAGCACAAATGAAAGGCCCCTTCCACAGAAAAGCTGAAAGGGTCATGCACAGTGGTGGGTTTCAAATTTTTTTAGAACCTCTTCTGTAGGTGTGGCCTGCTTTGTGGGAGTGGCTTGCCAGCCATGTGACCGAGCGGGAGTGGCTTGGCAGTCATGTGACTGAGTGGACGTGGCCAATTTGTAAAATGTGGTGAAACTCACTTAACAACGCTCTTGCTTAGCAACCAAAATGTTGGCTCAGAAACTCTGGCATTTGAAGTATGCAAATCTTAAAGCTGTCAAGTTACAAGCAATGTTCCCTCTAATTTTTTTTCAGTGTGAGCGGAAAAGTATAGTGTTTGAGCGGTACATTTTCATGCCTGAGCACCT